GGCGGGGTTACCACTTCTACGCCGGTGCTGCTGCCAGACGGACTGGTACAATTTGTCTCATTCCTTCCCTCGATGCGCAAAAGCCTATGCCTACTTAGGTGCCCACTCTGCGTGCAGTGGTGTGTCACGTCCGCCATGAAATTTTTCTTCAATGAATTCAAAATATCTCCACTGTGGGCAGACTGCAAAATGTAATTGCCTGCAAATTTGTTGTTAATGAGTTGTACATAGTAAATGGACAACGTGACGCAGAAGAGCATGTAGGGGATCCACCTGATAAGAAAGAAGAGCTGCCACGTGGGGGAGAAAAGTTAAACAAATGGGTGTGTTATATGTATGATGCTTGAAGCGTAGCGGTGCACCTTTCTGCCTCAACGAATTGTTGTCTTTGCCACATGAAGGGGTGAGATGAATTCAGCGCTACTGCGCCGCTGCGCCGCGGCACCGCTGCCCGCCCTACCAGCTTCTTCAGCAGGAACTCCCGGGTGATGACTTTATCTGGGATCTCGTTCATTATGGTGCTGTTGTTATCGTTGCCAAGGAGGGCGATTGACAGGAGGGGTATTATGAGCAGGATGAACAGCAGGTAGTCCATGACCTGTACGAGGGGGGCATGGAGGCAAGTCATATTAAACGAGTGGGAAGGGAGGCGTAGCGTGCAACTGTGGTTCAGGGGATGTGGCCCTACCGAGATGAGCGGGGGCAAAAAGAACACCGAAACGATGAACAACATGAAGGACAATTGGGAGTAGTAGAAGTAAAAAAAAAAAATCGTCAGCGACACGTTTTTCTTGTGGATCCTTGAACTCTTCAATAGTTTGTAAACCACCTCCATTATGTTTTCTGACAGGTCTGTGGGGGGACAAGGCCGAAAAGAGGGATTAAAAAAAGTGGTTAGAAGTGACGTCGCAGTGTACTACATAGTGAAGGGAGGAGACTCCGGGACGACCATCCATTCAGACAGTTTGTGCCGCCCCGCTTCACTTGTTCAAGTAAAAACCTACCCAGTCGACTCTTTTCAATGATCAAATTACAAGGCAACGTATTCACGAAGGAGGCATACGAGATGATGGGGTTCTCCTTTGTGGACAGCTCATCAAATGGAGTGTTCCTCTCCCTCTTCCCTTGGCAATCCTTACAGGAGTTATTGTACGGCAGCAGAATCGACACGGAGTAATTACACAGACTGTACACTTCAAAGTTGCAGCAGTTGAGGCTGTTCCCAACGCAGGTTATAATTTCGTTGTTCTCCTGTGGGGAGGCGGGAGGGGAAGAGGTGCGCTGTTGTCATGTCTTTCTGTCAATGGGGTTCCTACATCTCATTTGGGTACGCTTCTCCCGGTGCCCAGTTTATGCTCGGCCGCTTCTCAGTCTCTGCTTAGCCGCCGCTGGCTAGAGAAAACTCCCACTTACGAGCAAAATTTTGATCATCTCGTCCGTGTTGAATTGTTTGCAGCCTAAATAGGATTAGACTAACAAAGGAATGTTGTCTATGGTTTTCCTTTTTTTTTTTTTTTTTTTTTTTTTTAGGGAAGAAAGAGGGGGCATAGGACGCAAATGTGAATGCTTACACGTGGTAAAACTAAAATATACACACCAACGTAAGTATGGAAATAAACGTATGGTGAATACAAATTGTGCTTCTCTTTTTCTCACCTCCTGGATGTGTGTCTTAATGTTGTTGATACCACTCGGGATGACGACCTTCCCGTCCCTGTTTTTGAAGCTAGACCTGCACACAGGAAATGAAAAATACACACATATGCCAATTAGTTCGAGGTGATAGAATGGTTGCGAAAGAAAAAAAAGAAGAAGCACCCCTCACAATTCGAATGCGCCAGAAGCACAAGTGAGTCCACTCACTTATCATTGAGACTCAAAGAGATGGACGTGTTCCAGTTTGTCTCCATGCCCAACAGGTTCGATACGTTCCTCGTGTTCGCTTGATCCGTTTTGCTGAAATGGACGAAGCGAATTCCTGCCTGCGGTGACCAGTTATGGGTGATGCGTGACGAGTGACGAGTGATGAGCGATGAATAGGGATAGGGAATGGCAACGCATTGTGTTAGGCGCGCCACGCACTTCTCCTTGTGCACACCACGAAGGCGCCATTTCAAGTAAACCCACATTGTACAAGTCGTTAATCCTCGTCTGAATTTCGCTGTTCGTCATGAGTTTCACCGCGGAGTTGCCTGAACAGGGGGAGGGGAAGTGGTGAATGCGAAGCGACGTATGGGCAGTGGTGTACTATTACCGCGACATGCTATGCTCCATGTGCAACACCCCTTTACACCCGCCTTACCGATGAAGATACTCGTCGACAGCAAGTGTGATAGGAACTTTTCATTCCCCTTCACAGGGAAAGGGCTCTCATTGTAAAAATTTCTCAAATGGTACACTTTCCGCTTGTTTATGGTTAACAGGTATATGTTCTTTTGAAAATTGTCCTTCATGTAATTCCTCTCTTCCGTGCTCAGGGGTCGGTATGCAAAGCATATGCTCTCGATTCCTGCACAGGGGGGTTAACGCGGCAGACGGGTTAAAGCGGTTAAAGTGGCTAACACGGCAGAAGGGTGATGGGTTAAAGTGGCTAACACGGCAGAAGGGTGATGGGTTAAAGGGGCTAACGCGGAAGAGGGAGACCAACACACGCACATAACGTATGCACTCTGATCATCGCCACACCTGAGGAAATCCATTGCATGTTAAGAATGTGAAGCACCTTCTTCTTCCTCCTCTTCAATCTCTTAATGGCCTTCCCGTCGTAGTAGAACATGCACTTGCTGACGAGCGCGTCCAGTTGTCCCTGCGTATGGGGGGGGAAAGGGGCACCGCACATCAGTGTGCATGGCGATTTGTGTAGCGATGCGGATGACAAGATGGGTATGTGTGCCCGTTCCTACACATTATTGCATGCGACTTGGAACCGCACCCACCTTAAGGAAGAGGTGGTACTTGTCCTTCTTCTTCTCGCACAGGATAAAGGCAAACACAAAGTTGTCCCTGGACGTGACCGCGTCGTAGATGTTAATGCCCAGGGCCTGCCCGTTCTCGCCATGCTCGTGCACATGGTATGGCAGCTCTCCATCGTCCCCGGTTGTCTTCCTGTGCTTCTTCAGCTCGCTCTTCTTCTTCTTGTACAGCTCGTAGCTGCTTTTGTTTTCCACACAAAGGAAGAGCCTATCAGGGGGAGGGCAGCGGTCCGCATGACACTTCCACCGCGTAGCAGAGCCACGATTAACAGTGCAATCACGTAACAGCGCAACCGCGTAACAGCGAAACCGTGTGGTAGGGCCACCGCGCGCACTCACTTGTGGAAGACAAACTTGTTATAGGCGTACGATATGTTACCAATGTCACAGAGACAAATGAAGAGGTGGCTGTAGTCCAACTGGTTCATGTAATTCATGATGTTGTTTTGGAACTCGTCCAGCAGTCTGTTCGTGGGGGGGTAGACAGAAGCGAGGAGAGATGAACAGGAGGCCAGTAGTAGGAACGCGTTCCCCAGCAAGATGGTGTGTACGTAACCGCTTCTAACTAGCCGCCGCTAACTAGCCCCCCCCCAAAAAAAAAACAGCTTACCTCACGTATTTAGGAAGTTGGGTGTAGTAGGACAGCAAAAAAAGGGAGTGAAGGATTTTGCGGTTTTTAATTCTCTGATACGCATACATGCTCCTGTTGTCCATAAGGATATCAATCACGGTGAGAATGTAATTGTGGTAATTTGGTACCCCCTTCATCATGGTCGAGCTTGACGGAGCCTCCTTCTTCGAGCTCATGCAATTGTACAAACAGATCTCCTTAATACTGTGATTGCTGTCCAGTAAAATTCCGCTGCTATCTAAAAAACACAACACGGAACAGTCGCTTAGAATGTTCAGGTAACATTTGTCAATTTTTATGCCCTGCATGTGTGTGGAAGCGGCGGGGGGATGTCTCGCAGTAGAGAAAAAAAAAAAAGGTGCAGCCACTTCGATACGTGGGGTAGTAAGTAGGTTTACATTTACTCGAGGCAACTTCCCTTCCCCTAGGAGCACTGCCACCAGGATATGTGTTTACCCCCGTCCCACAAATGGGCAAAAGGGAACCACGGGAAGAGCACTCGCAAATGAAGTCTCACCTTAATGATTAGAAGAAATATGCTCTTAAGAGTGTAGAACAACCCGAACCGCTTCTTATTCGCATAGGCAGTGTCTTCTGTCGTTGTGGAAAAGTCGAATGAAGAAGAAAAATCTCTTTCGTAATTCATCTCGTCCTTAAAATAACTCTCATATATCAGATTCAAAGAGGAGCAGTATCCGTATATCAGTTCAGAGAATATTCTTCACAGGGAGGGCGTCAGGGGGGTGTGTATTAGAAGAGCAACGCAAAATGGTTCGCAACTATGTATAGCGTTATCTGTACACGGTATTTCTAAACCAGCTCTCCCTCCAATTAACTTCGCTGCTCCTCCCGCGCCGTGACACAACCCTACCTGTGGAAAAAGGGCAGCATCGTCATCGACATCAGCACGCTGTACAGCAGGAAGTACATAGTTACAAAGTGGGAGACCTCCTCCCCGTGGCTCTTCATGTGGGGGAAGCTGCGCGGGGAAAGAAGCGAGTACACATATTAGACGTGGTCCACGTTAGAGGTGGCCTCGATTATAGGTGGCCTCGATTAGAGGTAACCCACGTTAGAGGTAACCCACTCATGCAGCCTTACTACAGGGACGCCGCCGCGACAGACACCAAAAAGAGGACCGCCCACGTGTACAGGTAAAACGTGTGTATCTTCTCCGTTAGGATCACATTCCTCAGGTTACCCTTGTGCCTCGAAATTTTGTTCTGGTCTGTGGAGTCCTGCATGTACTTTTTGATGGTACATATGGACACGTCCTGTTGTGCCACAAACGAGTACAGGTGGAAGGAGGGTAGGTAGTCCCTCTTGTCGTCCTTCGCGTGCCTCGTCAACAGGTTCATGCTAATTTGATCCTTGTCCATGGGCATGAACACCTCATATTTTTCGTACCGCCTACCGTACGCTGCAGGGTTGGGACGGGGTTCAGTGGAGACCACTTCAGTGAGGGTGATCACAACGGGTGCACATTGCCAAGTCGGAAAAAAAAAAAAAAAAAAACATGTAAGATAGGATTAGCGCAACGGACATACCGCACGTGTCCATGTTGTACTCTACGCATCTGCAGGGGATAAGGTCCCCGGCACGCAGCAGGAAGATGTCCTGCTTGATTAGCTGCACGGTGGGGGGGGAAGCGAATGGGTCGATGAGTGGGTCGATAAAGGGGTCGATATGTGACCCGATTAGCGAAGCCACAACTGAGCCGCTGCATTCCTACCAGGTTCGTCGGCAGCAGCTCCCATCTCCTGTTCCTCTGAATGAAAATAAAATGAGAGCTGGACAAATAATTCAAATGACCATCGTCTTCCTTCCTCTTCTTGGTGACGCTCCTTGGTGACAACAATTTAGCAGCTTCATTTATTTTCCTCAAAAACGCGTTCGTCTGCAGGGGGGGAGAACGAGGGAGACCTAGCAGTGTGCTAACATGCTCCAGTGTGTGAAGAGAATGTACAGAGCACACGTGGGAAATATGTGCAGGGGCTTCGCGAATGTAGGTGAGGCCAAGGGGGAAACCTTTCTTCACTTGTGCCTCCCCCGTATGGCGGTACTTAACAGCAATGTCCCTTTTTATGCAATACGCTTGCGCAACTCTCCACTGGACACACCTGGGCATCCTCAATCTCGTAATACAGAAAGACGAACAGTAGAAGCAGCAACGATATGAGTACGAACAAGGCAGTCAGGTAGTGAGAACTTATTACGTCGTTGTCTGCAGAGTGGGGTTGTGTAATGGTAGTATGGGGAGATGTGCAGCCAAGGCTGCAAAGGGACCTGCTAAACGATGAAGAGGCAAGCGACCTCGTCTCACGCGCCCGTGACTCGACTTTCACAGTGCCGCAGCCGAAGCTACCGTCAAGGATGCAGCCAAGGACACTGCCATACCCTTGAGAATAAACAAGCACGCCAAAAGGGGAGCCAAAAAAATGGTCATCACAAGGAGCTCTGTCTTTAGGATGCACTTTAAAAAGAACTTCCTGTGCGTCTTCTTTTTGTATTCATCTGTCAACAGCTTTGGGGGACAAAAGGGGAAAAAAGGAGGAAGCGACATGGGTAAAAAAAAAAAATCCTCAACCATGGACATGTGTTTGTTAAGCAGACATCATAACGAGCCTGAGATGCTCCCTGGGCAGGTGAGTCGGCTCTAGGTACAGAGAAAAGAACAACGCAATGGTAGCTTGGCGGGAAGTGCCTCCCTCTCATTTCCCCCCTTTTTTTTTTTTTTTTTTTTTTTTTTGCCTTCCCCTATATGCGCTGCTGTTTACACCGCCGAAATAATAAAGAGCACCCTTATATGAACGAACAATTGTCCTGTCATTGTCTCTCCCTACCTTGAGCTCCCTCCTCATGGTGTCGCAAAAATAAGCGTCATCTATTTCTCCTGGGCATTTCTTCACTTCCCTGTTAGCCATTTTTCTCCGCAAAAAATGTTATTGAGAAAAAAATAAATAAATAAATTTTTTTTTTTTTTTCATTATGGCTAAAAAGGGAAAATATCCCCATATGAATGTTAGCAATTCTTTCATTCTCTACCCATGCACACATTTCAAATACGCCTTCCATCTCTTGGTGTGCACGCGTGGGTTGCGGTGGCTTAGGGTTCACTGAAGTTTGCTTTTTACGTCACCCTTGTTAAGCGGAACGAATTATGCTTGCCCAAACGGAGCGCCGCGGCTGCACTCGCCAAAAATGCGCATAAGCACAGTGACCTTTTTTTTTCCATACGTGCATCTTTTCATATGTATATATATTATTCCTACGTGCAAAAAGCTGTAGAGAGCTTCAAAGTGTACACATGCTACGGCCATTTTCGCGCAACCTCATGAGAACGTGGTTGAAAGTTTAATGACAATGAACTCTCTGCGCGCTCACTCAATTGATGAAAACGAACGCAACGCTTACACCACCGGAGGTGACTTCCTCATTCTTGCACTTCACCCACGGGGTACACTTTTGTATAACCCTAAGGTTACATCACATGGGCCAATTCACATCGCCCTAATTCACTTCATCTCCAGTTCATTTCATCCCTAATTCACCATTTGTCCCTTTTCTTTTTTCCCCCCTTTCCCCTAACCACGCGTATGTTCACATATGTAACGGCAGGAGAAGGGCCTACGCATGTCCGCGCTTCTCAGTCCCTTTCATAGGTGAGGAAGTGAATGATCAACATTTCGCCCACCCATTAGGTACTCACCTCTCCGCTACACGCACATCGTGTAAACAACTTGAACGCGTCGCAAAGAAAAAAAAAAAAAAAAAAAAAAAAATGTAGAAAGATTTTACTGACCCAAGCAGTTTTGTCACCCCATTCATTGAAACAGCACACATTTTTCACCCATTACTTACCCTCGATATAAGCACTGTCGTTGTCTTTATCACGAGGTGTATATCTTTGGGGAGTCAAATGCGGAAATAATTACTTACCCGTTGCGTTGTTCCGCTTTGCTACGCAGGTGCTTTCCATGCTATTCAACCCATTTGCGTAGTTATGTGTGCACACATATTTTCTCGTTCTTATTACAGCTCCTTTGACTGTTCGTTTGATTGTTCATTTGATTGTTCGTTTCATTGCTTGTTTCATTGTTCCCCGTCCACGCGTGATTGACCCAGAGAAAAATTGCTAAGACGTAACACACCAATGGGCCTGAGTCCTACACGCGGGTGTTAATGCGTGCGTTGGAAAACCCCCTTTTTTTTTTTGAATTTACCTGACCCGTTCAGGCGAAAAAGAAAAAAAAAAAAAAAAAAAAAAGGCCATTATTATTAAAGGGTGCCTTCGGAGGGAAGCTACATCGTAGTCATCGCACAGGTCGTCTTCCCACGTTGGTGCCGCGCCCACCACTCACTGCTATACCATCACGCCTACCACTCATTGCTCATTTGATGCGCTCACAAAATGAAGGACGCGAAGAAGCGCACAGAGGAGCCTCTCTCCGTGGAAGAGGATCTCAAGATGGACGGCCCCTTTGACCAGGAGAATAGCGAGGATAGAAATTTTGCAAACATTGCCAACATAGCAACCATAGACTTTGCTAATCTCGAGAAGGAGTTCAAAAGTATTTACAAATGCCCGTCGGAGGAGCTCTCACCATCACTCAGTGAGTCGAATGAGGTGAACAAGGCAAACGTATCCCACGATGATGATTACTTTTGTAGGAAGGCTCAGGACAGGGTCCAAGTGATGGTCAAGCAGCCAAGTGAGAACACGCTACACACACAGCGTGGTGGATTACATACCGAAAGTTCAATCGGAAGAGCCATTTCAAAGGGGGCAGGAAAACTACGTCCTGATGAATATGGATGTACGCTACCAGCCCAATTTGAGAGAAGCGGACCGACGGGGATAAGCAGCCAGGATAATTTCCCTTCGACCAATTCCATTGAGCAAATTTTAAAGAGCATCCAGGAGGACACCATTTTAGGGACAGACAGAGGGGAAAATGGCCACTCCGGTGGGTGTAGCTCGAATGCTAGAGCAGGTCACGTGGATGCGGTAGACCCAGTGAAGACTATTCACCCAGTGAGGGGTTCTCACCCCACGAATGTTGCACAGGCCGTATCACCAACTGCTTCACGAACCGCTTCTCAAACCGCTTCTCCTGCGTCTTCCTCCGCTCCGCCTTCCCATATGTGCCGCCTCTGGTATGACAACAAACCCTTTGTGTACCGCTGGGAGCGTGGCATGAAAAGGAAGGAGGTACAGCGATGCTTACACAACTTTTGTATTAACATCGCCAATGAGGATTTTTATCTCGCACGTGTGGAGAGACTCAGCGAAGATAACCTCTTCAAGGAGAAACAAAAAAATATACAAAAAATAATACTCAAAGGAAACATCCATGTGTATTACAAAATTTGTGAACGATATGAACAACATGCATTGGGAGATGTTGAACCAAATGAGGAATACCTAATAAAGAGGAAGAAGCAGGTGCAGGAAAAACTCATGAGCCCTCTGAACTTCCCAGAAGTGTTGAGAGCCATAGAATACACAAAGGAAGGAAGCAACCTACTCAAGCATACCGTCTATAGCATTCCTCACTTACGTTTCTTCTTTGTAAGTAAGGATTTAAATTTTATTAAATGGTTTTCGTCCAGGAAGACAGATGAACAATGCAAGATTTACTTCACAACGATCAACAGTCTTGAGGTCAAGTTGGTGCATGAAGACATGCTAGAAAATTTGAAGGTAGATATTTTGAAGAGATTATCCTTTTCCATTGTGTACATGAATGAAAAAAAAAAGGTAACCCTTACTTGTAAAAGTTTGCAGGAGTTTAATTACTGGGTCACCACCATCAGGGCTCTCATGTTCCGCGCGAAGAGGATGAAGACCACTCGCAGCGTCTTGCTGTCTCATGTGAGTGCAGGACACTCAGATGAAAGGGCAAGAGGGAAAAACACAATTACACGTGAGTGGTCAAATACCATTGGACATTATACAGGAGCTGATTTTGACGTGGGAAGGATCGATCAGCGAGAGGTCAACTCGTGTGGATCGTCCACACCCTATGAAATTTCTAGACCCTATGAAATGTCTAGACCCTATGAAATGTCTAGACCATATGGACAATCGAGACCCTGTGGTAAATGTAAACCCTGTGGAATTTCTGCACCCTGTAAATTTGCTATACCTTGTGGAGACCAGGACCCTTCGAAATGGCCCCCTCATCACGGGGAAGCCAAATCCAACAAGCTATTCGAATTTAAAGGAGAAAAAAATGTTTCAACGAAGAAGGAAGTGAACACAGAAGAGGAGATGTGCTCCCTTGAATCATTTCATCTATATAAACTTATAGTCTTCCCGGAATATAACCTCTATCAGATAAAGACCAAATTTTATCTCCTCAAGGAAAAGGCATACAAGTACAGGGTTTTAATTGAAAAGGAGATTGACGAGTACCAAATGGATATCGACTTGGGGGGTGGGGCTGCTTGTAGTAGTGGTGGTGGTGGTGGTGGTTTAGGGCAGATTGGCCACCACGAAGGGGGAGGCATTGATCGTCTTGGCAATGAGAGCGACCCCCCAGAGGAAGATACCGACCCAGAGAGTGCCCCAACAACACACAGAAAATCCCCCCCCATTTACCACTGCACGGTTAGAGGCAAAATGAGGGGTAATAAGGAAGGGAAGCAGAACCCAGTCACAAGGAGCAGGAGGAGGAGAAGGAGGGGTCTTCTCTCCGATGAGAAGCAAAACGAAACCTGCTCCAGTAGCTCCTCCCCCCATGTCACCCTGCCAGAAGTATATACACTTAACAAGGAAACAAATTTAAACATTCGCGATGATGGCAAGGTAGCCAAGAGAATGACACACAACATGGCAGGAGGAGCGGGACGTCGCAGAGGAGCAGGAAGAGGAAGAGAAGGACTGGGAGAAGGAAGTTTCAACCCCATGGAAGGGAACCATGAAAGTGAACCTGAGGAAGACACAGACCAATTTAAGCTACAACTAATAGTAAAAATATATAACCGCATTGACAAGAAAATTAAAAAGGTTCAAAAGGACATTATGCATGTGGTGAAGGTGCTGAAGAAGGAGGAGTCGGAGCAGCAGCCGAGCCCAAAGGGGGGGAACAGCATCGGGTTCTCCTTGGAACACATTTGGAAGTGCACCACAGATGTGTACAGAACGCTGGAGGGAAAGTTTTACAAAACGGGGGACGGTCGCTACGGGGGGGATAACTACTACATCCGATCCAACGATATACACACGGAACAGCCAAGAGATGAACACCCAAAGTATGAGCAGCCAACATGTGAACGGCCAACATGTGAAAAGCGAATGCCAGAACTGTTCAAACGGGAAGAACAAACCGATTCGTGTCCGCCATACGAATGGGACACGCAGAATGAAAAGGACTCACCAGAGGGACACAAAAACGAGTCCAAAAAACTCATGCACCACATCCTGTTCGACATGTGGCTGTGCGAAATGGAACTCGGGAACATCGAAGACATTTACACCACCTATGTTTACAACTCTAAGAGAAGAAAAAATGTTATGAACAATATGGATGCCTCTGCCTTCGTGAAGAACATCTCCCAGCAGATCTCCAACACGATACTGCGCTACATGAACTTGTGAGGCGGCAACGGCCCGCGTTAACGTAATGCCCCACGGGAGGCCACGTCCCACACGAGGGGACAAAAACCCTGTTGGTAAGATGCCTCCACATAACGGCAGACACAACTGCAGTAGCATTAATAATCATGTGGGAGTGTGCCTCCATCCATTGGGACAGACTACCTCAGTTAACATAACAATTGTTTGGGTCAAAAAAAAAAAAAAAAAAAAAAAAAAAAAAAAGGGAGATAAACCCGTCACACGGTGCTTACCGCGAACAAGGCATCTCCAGCGAGACGAAAAAATTGGACAAGGTACAGTCCCCCCCCGTACAGGCAAGCGATGGAGTGAGCAATCCAGCTTGCACACCCCACCTGCCCTGAAGACGCGCTGGTCGAGGGACCACCTACTTGGACATATACAGCTGGTATGCTGCGTCAAACTGCGAAATGTTCGAGCATATCTCCCTGTGCAGGTAGTTTATAATATCCCCCTTGTGGTTGAATGTAAAGAAGAACAGCGAGTTCAGCCTGCTTAGCTCACGCAGGATTCTCTTTTTTTCTCGTTCCTTTTTTTTGTTCTTGTTTCGTTCCTTCCTTGAATTCCGCGCGGGGTGTCCAGTGTGAGCGGAGTGCATTTCTGCCTCGTTCCCTCCACTTAGCTCCCGTTGCGTTTTTTTTTTTTTTTTTTTCCTTTCCTCCGTTGTTTTTCTCCCCTCCGTCGTAATGGACGACCCCGCGTCGTCCTTGTGGTTGGACATGGCGGTCGACTTCGAATCAATGCTCGTGAGATTTTTATAACTTTGCCCGTCCTCACCCTTAACGAACGCGTAGCTTAATTGTTTGGAACTCAGGGGGCACTCTTCCTTGCCCACGCAGTTGCTATCTGCTTGCGTGTCGCCTTGGGGGCAGTCCTTTACGGTGGTCTCGTCACGGTGGGCGTGTGGAAGCCCCTGGTCCGCACCCACAGTTATTGCAGGTGGGACTACGGCTTCGAGAAGGGTCTCCACGTGCGATCCCTCTGTGAGAAGCGTCTCTTTGTCGTTTCCCTTTCCCCCATCAGGCTTCAACTCCTCACATGGGGGATTCACGTGTAGGTTGGCTTCCCCAACGTTACAACCGTATCCACATGCAACTGATGAGGCAACATTGGAAAGGTCATTTGTGTGCACCTCTTTGTCCCCCCCTTGAACACAACCATTCGTATGATCATCCTCTTTCGTAGGAGCCTCCTCAATTGGTTTGTCAACAACTCTCGTTCCATCCTGTTCATGTGGGTATGTCCCTTGTATGGAGCTACCACCATGAGCACTGTGAGTATCCCCAGTGAAGGGAACCTCCCCCATGTCGTTACGTCCAATGGGTAATACTTCTGTAACCTCTTCAACAACCTTTTGCACCTTGGTTGACATACGTGCAGGTCTATCTAACCTCCTGTAGAGCCTGTACAATCTTTTAATTTTTTTTACAATGATGGCTAAATTCGAGTCACACTTGAGGACGAGGTTGTAATTCGACCTCAGGAGCATGTGTGCATTCTGCACCACTTGTATGAGCTGAGTTTTATTGTTGTTTTTCATTTTGTCCACTGAAAGGATATGGTCTAGGGTGTCTGAAATGCCCTTCAGGATGAATGGCAGGGAGGAATTGGAGTTTTCAAACAGGGCCGTCATATCCACATTTGTCGTATCGCCCGCGGGGTCGTGACCAACTGCAGCCGCACCGCCTCCATGCGTTGCCTTCCTTCCAAGCGTCCTTCCCCCAACCGACGCCATCTCACCATCCTTGCTGTGCAAAATCTCCGCGATGTCATTCAGTTCTTCTGCCCCCAACTTGGACTCACTCATCACGCACTTGTCGCTGTGCCGCAGGATCTCCTTCGCATTTGCTATCGTGTTCTTGGCGTAGTCCACGCTTCCCCTGGTTGTGCCTTTGCATCCGGCGTTCGAACTCACCCCTTTCGAAGTGGCCACGTTGGGAGTGACCCCATTGGACGCGACCCCATGGGGAATAGCGGGGGGTCCACATAACTGCAGTTGCATCAAAGGGTTGTTTGCCTCAGCAACGTCTGCTTCTTCGTCTTTGTCGTGCCCCTCCTTCATTGCCGCCTTGTCCTCCATTCCTTCAAGCTTCACGTCTGTGTGAACTGCTTCCCTCTCGCTGCATTCCCCTCCCAGGGTTGTCACCTGCACATCGCTTCGTACATCATCACGAACAGTGTCGCCTTCCTCGTTCTTCCCACGGTCGGCCGCTACACCGTCCACGGGGGCTTCCTCAACGCCGCTCATTTAAAAGGATATTAATGTCACGCAACCCACCGTCTCAGCTACACACAGAAAGGGAAGCTAACACAGAGTGGGGAAAAACAAAAATTACCCACGGACGTTCAACTGAGAAGCGCCCCGTGAAGGTTGCTCTATCCCTGTAGGTAGTGTCCCCCGGCATGTGCACATGTACCTTGTCCACATGAAAGTTTAAAATGGAACGTAAAGGGGAACAAAAGTGTCAAACGGGTAGTTCATCATTTTTTTTTTTTTTTTTTTTTTTTTTTTTTTTTTTTTTTTTTTTTTTTTTCTTTGCACTTGTTCAAAATGGTGAAGAATATACCGACAAAAAAATTTGTTTTTCCTTTCGTCCGCCTCGTTTCGTTTCGTTGTGTTTCATTTCATTTCGCGCTATTTCTCTTCCCTTCTGTAACGGTTCGTGTTTGTAATGCTTTTAATAAAGATGGACCTCATGCGTCGGTTGTGTACGCCTTTTGCACTGGTGCAATTGCTGAGGTGGGGGGGGGGGGGGGGCCCCCTTTTTTTTTTTTTTTTTTTTTTTTTTTTTTTTTTGTGGCATACTGCACAATTCGACCATTTTGTTTGAAAATTTTTTTTTTTTCTTTCTGTTGTTGTCCTTGCAGGTGGCTAAGCGGAGGTATTTTTCCGCCTCACTGGTGCAGATGTTTCCACAGAAGAAAGGTGTTGCCACGAACTTGCGGCCTCCCTGCAAACGCATGTACAATGCTTGTGTGGCGCATGTAAGAAAGCGTTGGGGGGTGAGCGCCATCAAAGTGTGGTATAACAAAATGGAGCAGTGTGTGATGAACAAAGGGAGTCAGTTACATTTAACGCGGATGACACAACACATAATTATTATGTACACATGAGAAAAAAAAAAAAAATTTACTTAAAAAAAAAAAAAAAAAAAAAAACGTCTGGGAGACACACTCCCCACAGGTGCGCAAATAAAACGCAACCATCACCAGTTGCCGACAGACGTAACGTAAAAAAATATTGTTGCTCGCCGCTCGTGCAAGTTATGGTGTCTCATATGAAGGGGGGGGCCGTGTGTCCCACGCAAAGGCGTTGTACTTCGCGCCAACCCAACTCCAATTAAGACACCCTACAAAAATTCCACATGAACCACCTGTACATACACCTGTCCCCAGGGTTAATCATTTCGTATAAAACCTTGTAGGTGCTCAAATGGTGTCTATTCAAAGCATCATCACGACTGTAACGTCTCTTGCGAATGGACTAACCCGCACTGTGCTTCTCTCCCCCAAAGGGGCAAATGGTGTCGCCTGTGAATCTGCATCAGTCGCTGATATAGCCCCCGGTTCAAGTACTGGTTTATAATTCGTGCCGACCCCAGGCAGTAGAAAAAGAGGCGCCTGTCTGGCTGCTTCCCCCTCCTGCTTCTTCCCCTCTTGAGGGAGTACACATACTTGGTTTGTCCATTCCTTTTAACAATGAATGGGAGGTAGAAGGTGATGATCTGTCCGGGGGACAGTCCTATGTCCTTCTGCTTCAGCGTGAGGTACGCCGTCTGCCCCATGTCATCCAGGGCGATCCTTGCTTCCTTTATCTCTTCGCTGTTGCGTATTTTAACGAAGATGACTCGTGGTCGCAGTTTGTTTGTGGCGGGCGATACGGTGAACGGCGTACCTGCTGCGTCCGTCACTGCCGACCGTGCTGCTCCCTTCAATGATGACCGTGCCAGCTGCACTGTGTCCAGCAGATAGGAGGGCGGGGCGGAGGCCACCCAGCGAAAGTCCCCTAACCTACACCGCCCACGAAGATAACGAAACGACCTACTCGCATAATCACGGCTGACGTAAATGAAATTCTCCTTAACGTTGCCACTGGCACGTCTCAACATCTTCTTGTACACGACTGTCCACTGACATGAGGATATAAAGTTTTTCTCACAAGTTCGACCTCTTCGTGTGGAAGTATAAAGTTGGTGTAAATAATTTGTTATGTACTTATTCTGCCCAATGGCGTACAGATGGATGCCGTCATTCGTGTCCAGCACAGTTCCATCGTCCACGTTTATTATGTAATTCTTGAAGCGCAAGCTGAAGGATGGTAGGTGCTTCTCCTGGAAGGACCGGAACTCAGGAGAGCGCAGCTGGTCCTGGACCCACTCTAACCCGCGCCCAGTGTTAGTGGCTGCCTCGACTTGACCACTTGCCCCCCCAAAGTATAGCCCCAGCAGCGAGTGCATATCCACCCGCCCGTAAAGACACAAGCCGCGTGTCTCCCTGTGATTGTACTGCCCTGCCTCCCTGCCCTCCATGAGCCTCTTAACGTTACTCTTTGTGTGCAGGCAAAGCGGAAACAGAAACTTAGAAAGCTGCTTCTCTGCGAATGAAGACAAAAAGAAAGTCTGGTCTTTCTTTTCATCCCTGCCCACAATTAATTTATACCTCTTGCGTACAGTTCGCCCTGCTCTCCCCCCATCTGTGCCATCACCCACGAAGGGGAAGTCCCCGCTGAACAACCTATTCGCATTCGCCTCATCGTTTGTGCTTATCATGGCGTAGTGGCCAGTGGACACGTAGGAGTAGTCCCACCCACCACCCCTCTCCCTGCACAGCTTCCTCATCGTCTTCATAAGCAAATTATACTTTACCTTTTCGTTGCACATGACGTCAGCGTTAGGAATTTGTCCCTCCGAGTAGCTACGCAACATGGGGATGAGCACCTGCTCAGTGTACTCCTCATTAATGTTAATAATAAATAAATTTTTTCTCTTTTCACAAATTTGTTTCACATACTTGAGGTCACTCTTACTACAGTCTTGGTGTGCAAAGTGAAGAAAGAAATTGTGAACGTGAAATTTTTTCTTCTCCAACAAGCGCAGTGCCATTAAGGAGTCGACCCCTCCACTGAGCATGTGGGCCACACGTGGGTACTGGTGCATGCGCATGTGTCCGCGCATGTGCGTGTTTGCTCGGCAGGACGAACGGCCTAACACGCGCTTGCTCACCGCTGGCTTTGCCACACCCCTGCTGAGTCGCTGTACGAATCGCCTCACTCGATCCATCACATGCCCAACGATGTGCTCCCCATTCACGTGGATGGTGTAGAGCGAGCTCAACTCTTTCACCATTCGTTCAAACCCCATGTTGAGAAAACTTGCCACATCCAGGTTGTTGAGGCCCCGTAGAAGAACCCGTAGGAAGCAACACAAGACGATGTTGTCACTGAACCCATCGACGGTGATTAAAAACTTCTTCCTTCCAAGGATGCTCCTCCAATGGGGCTTCCCACCCGAGTGTCCCTTTGCAGGGATGGACTGCTCACCGGTGGGACCACTCGAATGCACTTCTGTGCTCTGCTCTTGTCCCGCCTCGACTACATCCACAGCCAAGTACAAATTAGAGTTGCACCTTTCCACATACTTGTAAAGGACTCCCTCCCGGACCTCATTAATGAAATAGTGTCTCCGTGCAAAGCCCAACTGTGATTTATCCCCTAAGGTGAACTCTGTCCTGTCCATGGGTTCAGCAATTTTCATTGTACAAACGTTTGTATTTTCTCGCATCAGATGTGTCAACTTGTCCTCCCTGCCAGTTATTCGTTTCAATTCTTCACAAACTGTTCGAATGTGCTCTTCGTAATGTTCATTAGGTTTAGTGTGGTCACCACTGCAGGGTTCGTTACTCAGAGGAGTCACTCCACATGCATTTATTTTTTTTACCGAGGGGGAGATTCCCCCCTTGAACAGTCTCCTCCTTAGGCCTCCCTTTATTATGTAACATTTTGGGGTCCTCCATCTGGGCCTACCTTTTATTACATTCACCTCTACCACATCTCCACGTCCGACTCGTTCCGACCTGAGCAAGTGCGTAACCAGGATGGAGTGTAGGAGAAGCCGAAGGATCATCAATTGGGGGCATGTAATTGAGAAGTGTTAAGAAGTGCCCCCATCGTCACCCCTTCTCGTCGAGGTGCTCTGCATTATTTGAACGCAAAATAGGTCCTCGCGCTAAACGTAGCATCAACACGAAGGAAGGAAAAAGAAAAGAGAAGAGTGCTCATATAGAAGTACCCGCAAATGCGTTATAATAGATGTAGTAGCCACCTTCGTATCACCACGAGATATAGCCATCCCAGAGAAAAAAAAAAAAAAAAAAAAAAAAAAAAAAAGGGCTCCCCACACACACCCCACTTGCGCTGCAAAGTTAGTGAAGTGTTGCCCCTACAACTTCCACTTGTGCACATCATATGAATTGTTTTTTTGTGATGCACGGAGGAGTGCCGCCTTCAAACGACACCGGCAGGGGGGCGAAGCGTGAACGTATGTCAACACGTTGGTTACACCTCCCAAGTTGGGTTTCACAAGATAGGATTACTCGCTTCTCCATGTTGTGAAATGTGACAAGCTTTCCATTTTTTTTTTTTTTTTTTTTTTTTTCCCTTTCTTCAACTTAACTTCACTCCTACCCAAATGATGAGCAAACCATTTTGTGATGTCCCAACAGCACATCCACATGGGACGCGATTTTAAAGGGGGAGAGTATGCATAAGCTGCCAAGCGGTCCACATGTGTATCTCCACCCCCGACGGAAGGGGCAAACTCCGTATTGGTGGTGGTGGCTGGGGGACACCTACAATATACAGTCAGGACGATAACACATTGGGGAATCCGCGTCTCGGTGATGCATCCCACAAGTGACCACATCGAGCCAATGACCAGTCTACTTAACAGCAAATGAAAACTTAAAAAATAAAGTTCATTCAGGGGGAAAGGGGGAAGGACAAATCAAGAGTGATGCACACGCAGGGTGAATGCGAAGGGAAAGGGAAGAGAAGGAGGTGCGGGAGGCCATAGGATGGGATGCTGGGCGCCGCACAGGGGAAGGAAAAATACAAAAATGGGCCATAAAAAGGGCCACAAAATGGGTCACAAAATGAACCCCAAATGGACCCCAAAAATGGGAGCAAAAATTCACATACACGTCCAGGGTAGAGACGAACAAAGTGGAGACTGTCGAGACCAAGGACCAACTCCTACCTGTCCATGTGAAGAATTAATAAAATAAATATTACACAGGTGCTACATGTGTGTGGGGGGGGGGACAGTCCAACGAATTGGTCCTTCGCCATCCTGCGTGTGTAAAGCGGCAACTGTAGGCTACTCAAAATAAGAGAGTAAAAAAAAAAAAAAAAAAAAAAAAAAAAAAAAAATGACTTTTCATCTCTGTATAATATCTGCTTGGGGGGTAAAAACAATTATGTTTGGCTTCTTCTCCTCTTTTCAAATGTGATCCCTTTATGTGGAGCCAGAACCGGGGGTGCAGCAGAGAACACCCGTCCCACATATTACACATAAGTGGTGAAGGCGCAACGCACTGTTGCAGTGGTAACTAGACAAGGGTTGGTTGGGGGGGTGTCCCCAACGCTTGCCCCATGGTACATCCTTGCCGCTTATCCCTTGTGAGGCCGCCCCCCTGCTTAACCGAAGCAGCTCTCGCAACTGTACTCCAGGTACAGATACCCATCTTCGTCCTTGTACATTTCATACAACTCCTGCATCAGTAACCCTGTCTTTGGAATCACATTATTCACAAACAGGTAAATGGTTTTCTCCCTGAACAGCTTCATGCTGTTTCCATATGCACTCTGGTTTATATGCTGGTGAAGGATAAACTTAAATTCACCAACTAGCATATTCATGGGTACTAGAAATTTTTTTTTTTCAATCTCAGGGAGGTTGGATCGGCTGGCCTTCTCGCACACCACGGGAATTCTGTTCGGGTACTTGGCTCTGATTTTGTGCGTCTCGGCGACTCGGCTTTCGAACGGCACCTCTTCCTTGAGCGACGGCATGGCGGCGGGGAGTAAACGGTGAACAGTGGGGGGGGGCAGTGATGGGCGCAGCGACGCCGCAAACGTGTAAATGGCGTGGTGAGCGATACCCCCCACCACCCGTTCCTTTAACGTGACGGGACCCCCCTCGGTGTTGCGTCTCCAGTGCAACCGTTAGGTGGGTATAACCACTGCTCCTTTTTTTTTTTTTTTCCGTTCGCCCCTTTTCTGCCGCCGCTACACCCGTTCACGTTGTCAGAGCTACCTGCAGCCACTTCCGCGCGCAGAGGACGCCAAATCCTGTAGGTCCCTGTGTCCTTAACGTACACATGCGTAATGACGGCGGTTGCGCAAATGTGCGTGTGTGTATGCTCCGCTCGGGTGCGGCGTGCACTTGGTCGTGATGACCCGTTCGTTGTCGTGGTGACCCTGTTGTTCTCGTTCCCTTCAACGCCTACTCGGCCGCGATGTCTTCCCACAAAGGCCCCTCTGAACACGAGATACAGTCCACTGTGCCTTCGAACGTGACTCTTCTTCAGGAGAAAAAATTGCCCAATGTGTTGCGCGCGGCGATGTATGTCGTTCTGCGCGGATGCACATGCGTGCGCTTTGTAGGTTGACGCAATTTTATTTTAATTCTTCCTTCCGCTCGACGCCAAGTTATATAATGAGTAAACAAAAAAAAAAAAAAAAAAAAAAAAAAAAAAAAACAGGAATAGTGCAGCGGTGATGTTGGCAACGCGGTGAAGGGGTGGAAGCGGTGAAGAGGTTGAAGCGGTGAACACATGAAGTGGCGAAACGGCGGCATGGCGGAATCCCCAATTAACTGCGCCCAAATATACATGACCCCCGCGCACTCAAACCGTTCGCACGTACTACGTGAAGAATCAGCATGCGCGCGGGAACACAACGATAACAGGGCATAACGATAACAGGGCATAACGATAACAGGGCATAACGATAACAGAGCACAACGATAACAGAGAACACAACGCAAAAGAATATCCTCCAGTTCATGTTCACACTTTTATACCTACACCTGTGCGCACATCATTGGGGCATCACATTTTCGCAGCCGCATGCATACCACCACACCGTCCGTGCTGCACAAATCACAAAGATTGTCGCGCGCCCCCATGGGCCAGACGTTGACACATTTTACCAATTTTCTGCGTCAACGTAATTTTTGCCAGTGCACGCTCTCCATGCATATGGCGCAATGGTTAAAGAGTGAGAAAAAAAAAAAAAAAAAAAAAATGAA